CGGCCCGTGGACGCCTGGCTTGTGCCGCTCTTCTTCGGCGCGCTAATGCTGCTGGGCCTGACGGGGAACTCGCTGGTCATTTTCGTCATCTGCCGCCAAAAGCAGATGCGCACGGTGACCAACTTCTACATAGGTGAGCGCCTCGGCGCTGCGCGCTGCGCGTCTGCCAGTCCCCCTGTCGCCCCGAGGGAATGGCGGGGCCGCCCCCTAGCGGTGCCCCGGGCCCTCCCAGAGAGGACTCTTCCCCCGCCGGTCTCCGCTCTTTTCCCGGTTGGCCCTGTGCCTTAGGCTAGAGGTCGCAAACTGGCGTCGGAGGGTTCATGCGGTCGCAACAGTTAAAAGGTTGGAGAGCTCACCCTTGCCCCTCGAGGAAGATGCCCGGCTGAAATGTGGTCTCTGACACAGTATTCGATGAATAAAAGCAGTGGAGGGGAGGGACTGCTTGGTCCTTGGGCCCCCAGTTTGCCATTTCTGCCACAGTGGCTCAGTTTGCACCCTGGTGTCATGGGATGGCTTACCATACAGGTGAGTGCTCAGTTCGTGTTCTCCATTCTATGGTGGGTGTTGGGCCAGCACCACTGTCTCCAATTTGCGGAGGAGGAAACTGAGGCTCAGAGGGACAGGGGCCTGCTCAGGCTCTTCCAGCCCAGACAGGGGTGAGCAGGGCCCACTGAAGCTTGAATAGCTGTGAAGTCGGTGTGGGGATGTTTGAAATATAAAAGGGGGAGACTGAAGGATGTAGGGGGCCTTCTGGAGCTGCCCTGCTGGTCACTCAGACAAAGGTGAGTGCTAGGGAGCTGGGCCAGAAGCGCTGGGTGGCGGAGACCCGGCGCCCCATGTCCAGAGCCCGAACATTTCCCCCCTGCAGCCAACCTGGCAGCCACGGACATGACCTTCTTGCTGTGCTGTGTGCCCTTTACCGCCCTACTCTACCCACTGCCTGCCTGGGTGCTGGGTGACTTCATGTGCAAGTTTGTCAACTACATTCAGCAGGTGGGCTGTGGGCTGGGGAGCCAGGGACAGGTCTGGGTGTGGGCAGGTGGGTGCAGTGGGGAGAAAGGGGCACAGGGGGAAGTGGGTTGGGGGTGAATCAGCTGGTGGATAGGCTGGGAGGAGGTGTAGCCTAGACCCAGTGGTGGGGGGCGGAGGACCCCAGCAATGGGACGGGCAGGGCTACAGAGAGGCACTGGGTATTGGAGATGAGCACTGGAGGGTGATCCCGGGTCTCGCCCCACCTGTCCCTAGGATGGCTCTGCCTCTCCCTGCCTCAGTCTCTGGGTCTTAGAAGGCCCCCAATGGCGCCCTCAAGCCCTCACTATTCTGGGGTCCTCTCTGATATCGCCCCTCTCCTGACCCTTCAATTTGTGTCCCCGAGGACCCTCCCAGGACACGCCCTGTGTGTTTGGACATTTGTGTGGGGAGGAGGGGGGTCCGCAGTGTGGACACAGACAAGGCAGCCCCCAGACCAGGCGGGGAGTGGGATGGGGGAGGAGCACACGCCCAGCTCCCGGCCCTCCCAGGTCTCGGTACAGGCTACGTGTGCCACTCTGACCGCCATGAGTGTGGACCGCTGGTACGTGACGGTGTTCCCGCTGCGCGCCCTGCACCGCCGCACGCCCCGCCTGGCGCTGTCAATCAGCTTGGGCATCTGGGTGGGTGAGTGTCGCGCGGGAGCACACGGGGTGGGGGGAAAGTCCCCGTGCCCTGGGCTCCTTCCTTCTCGCCATCTCTCTCTGGGCGTCGGGAAACGCGCGACATAGCGCTCCCTGCGAAGAAGCGCTGAGCGCGCAGACTGGGGAGGCTCCTGGGAGACCAGGGCCCGGGCCCCCTCCTGGCCCTCGTCCCCGTCCCCGGGCAAGGTCTGCAGCTGCGCCTGTGGTGCAGGCTCCGCTGCCGTGTCGGCGCCGGTGCTCGCCCTGCACCGCCTCTCG